ATACCACTCAAACAATTACTATAATACCACTCAAACAATTACTAGAGACCATGTAAATAATACCACTCAAACAATTACTAGAGACCATGTAAATAATACCACTCAAACAATTACTAGAGACCATGTAAATAATACCACTCAAACAATGACTAGAGATCGTGTAAATAATACCACTCAAACAATTACTAGAGACCGTGTAAATAATACCACTCAAACAATTACTAGAGACCGTCTGTAAATAATACCACTCAAACGATTACTAGAGAGCGTGTAAATAATACCACTCAAACAATTACTAGAGACCAAATAATACCACTCAAACAATTACTAGAGACCGTGTAAATAATACCACTCAAACAATTACTAGAGACCATGTAAATAATACCACTCAAACAATTACTAGAGACCGTGTAAATAATACCACTCAAACAATTACTAGAGACCGTGTAAATAATACCACTCAAACAATTACTAGAGACCGTGTAAATAATACCACTCAAACAATTACTAGAGACCGTCTGTAAATAATACCACTCAAACAATTACTAGAGACCGTCTGTAAATAATACCACTCAAACAATTACTAGAGACCGTGTAAATAATACCACTCAAACTATTACTAGAGACCGTGTAAATAATACCACTCAAACAATTATTAGAGACCGTCTGTAACTTGTAGTCAGGTTCATACTGAAGGCCTCACTAATGTGACTTTAAAGACAAATAACAATACGCTGTTCATTCCTTTGATTTTTCATGTGCGCCTAATTAATTTGTGTTATGAATTGATACATACTATCCTTTAATTCTTTCTAGTCAGACAAAAACATAAATGCATAGGGGGAAAAACTTATTATTGATTTTGTCAAATGTACAATTGTAATTTAATTTGTAAAAGTTGAATAATTCACACAATTTAATACATTTTTAGTAAGAAATTGTTATGTTACATCAGCTTTATTATTAGTTCAATGACTTCCTTTCTCGTTGAAATGCATTCATCATCAAAAAAAACATTTCCGATGTGCAAATATGCATTCTACACAACAGAAACATTTGTATTGCAGGAGGACTGATTACTATTCTTCGACAAGCTTTCTTAACACAAACAGACGAAGCATACTGGATGATATCAGTTCTAACACCAGACAAATCTGAAGTTATCTCCTCTTGGTCCTTTGCATGTGCATTTGGAAACAATACAAAAAAGTAAGAACAAAGAGTATCTGTTTATGATTTATTAAAAAACGATGTTATAGATATTAAATTCAATTTCAGATTTTTTTAAAGAAAAATTCTAAATTATTCCATTTGAATTATTCTCAATTTGGATGTATATGTAAATCGTATTTGTAAATATAAGACATTTTAATTATCTTAAAAGTTTAGGAAACTTTATATCTCATTCTGTACTAGATAATGAATGTATAAGAATAATGAACTCAGAGATTGCTAAATAATAAGGATTAAGCATGTGCAACAATAAATGATACCAATGAATATTAACAAAGCTTATTATAAGTAATCATATCTTTTAGTTTAAATAAACTGTCATACAAGTGAGAGGTTTAGCTAGCTATAACACCAGGTTCAATCCACCATTTTCTACATGAGAAAATACCCGTACCAAGTCAGGAATATGACAGATGTTATCCATTCGTTTGATGTGTTTGAGCTTTTGATTTTGCCATTTGATTATGGACTTTCCTTTTTGAATTTTCCTCGGAGTTCAGTATTTTTGTGATTTTACTTTTTATTAGTTCTTTAGTGTAGTTTTTGAGTGCCTAGTAAATAGTCTTTCAGTCTTGTAATTTTAGGTTTCATAACGAGTGAGAATTGGATATCGCTAAATACCAATTCGAGTCATTCAATTTCCATATTATGATAAACGAGCCTATGGCGAGTTTATTATTATTACTGAAATTGTATAACGAGAGTTCACATCTAGTGATATCAAATTCAACAAAATTAAAGATTTTTTCGTATCCCTATAAAAATAAGGAGATGAGGCATGATTGTCAATGAGACAACTATCCACAAAAGTTCAAATAAAGTGGATGCAAGTAATTATAGGCAACTGTACGGCCTTCAACAATGAGAAAACCCATACCGTATAGTTGGCTATAAAAGGCGCCGACATGAAAAATATGAAACAATTCAATTGAGAAAACTGACGGCCTAATTTATAACAAAATAATGAACGAAAAACAAATATGACAGACATGAACCAACGACAACCACTGAACTACAGGCTCCTGACTTTGGACAGGCACATACAGAATGCGGTGGGGTTAAACATGATTGTGAGCGTTCAACCCTCCCCTAACCTGGGACAGTGGTGAAACAGCACAACATAAGAACAAACTATAAAAATCAGTTGAAAAAGACTTAACTCATCAGATCGATACAAAGCAGAAAAACATCAAACATAAACACAGACCGGACGTGGCAGGGTATTTATCCATCCCTCATCCTTAACAACAAAAAGGACACTAAGTACAGATCTGAGAGTACTCGAAGTTACTGACAGCTAGTTCAAAGCCAATAACAACTATAAAAAAATCATGTATCTAAGACTAATATATCAATCAGTACACATCCAACATCCAATTGATTTAGTGCAAAGACGTCAATAACAGTCAGAGAAAAATATGACCTTGTGCAATGCCAAAATGCCAAACGATCGACAGATTGTGGTACCGTTAAAGTGCATGTGTGTATAACAAATCTTTTAGTATGATTTTAATTTACTGATCACAAAATCAATATTTATACCAATAAAAACAATATTCAAAGATCTAATTACAGTGTTGAATTGGTAACCTTTTAGAATAAGTTTGTTTAAAGGATCGATAAGTTTACCCGGATATAAATTTCCTGGCTCGGTTAACAATATCACCGTAAAATTTAGAATGTGCTATTCCGTCTGAAATAAGATTTTACAGGTACAGTCAAACTTGCAAACCGAATGTTTGTATCTATGGAAGAATTTAGTAAAGGTTTTGATAAATTTGTGGAAACGAAATCCCCGACTTAATAATTTACCAGTTATACATAGATTATCATCATTGAATTCCAAAACGTCACTACAGGCACGGGCATAACGAACGAGTTGGGATATATAAACACCGTAAGATGGTGCCAGAGGAACATCACCGTCCAAAAAAAGAAAATTAACAATAGGGAAAGAAAAATCATCCCTTTTGTCGTAATTTTTTGTGTAGAGTTTCTGGTGTAAAACGGAAATATCTAAATCTAAGAAAGGACACTTATTGCTGTTAATATTTGATTTATTTAAAGTAAGTTGCTGTGGGTAAATTTCGGCAGTATATTTAGAGAATTCTTGATTATTTTACAAAACAATATCATCAAGATAACGGTAAGCGTTGTTGAATTTATCAATTATATGGAATTTAGTCGGGTCTTTACTGAGTTTGGCCATAAACTGTGATTCATAACAGTACAGGAACAAGTCTGCTATTAAAGGGGCACACTTGGTGCCCATAGGAATACCTACAATTTGTCGATAAACTTTATTGCCGAAACGTACATAAATATTGTCAAGGAGAAAATGTATGGCTGTAATCATCTCATCACACCTCCAGTAAGTATATGTATATAAATAAGAAGATGTGATATGAGTGCCAATGAGACAACTCTCCATTAGCATATTTACCTTTCTCGTTTGACAAAAAGGCTTTATTTGAGTTGCAGCAAATAAATTTCCAATTAGATTTATCGAAAGACCATTTAATTAAATAGGAAAACTTTTGTTTGATAAGATTGTGTGGAAGCGTAGTGTAAAGAGTGGAAAATTTAAAACTGTCAACCGAATCAAAAGGATCACCAAAAGCACGTAATTTATCTATAACATCCAAAGATGAAGTAATTCATATCACAACTCCATTCAGTGTGAAATATTCCCTCGTGCAGGATAACAAGCCACAACTATAAGAGAATGTCATAGTGAAATAAATTTGAAACCAGAGTGTCATTTTCAAGTTGATATAACAATCGGAACCATATTTCAATCAATTAATGCTGTAATTAGCATTTTGTCGGTGATCTATGGTAAAACCATTTGCTCATACCTAAGTGACATTTAAGGCAGCTAGGACAACGAGGATATTGATCAGTATTCAAGAATAGCAAAACTGGTCACAGTAAAAACAGTATGTTAACCATTAAAACAAAAGAATGTCAACATTGAAAAGTGAAACAAGTGATGTACCTGGCATAACCAATTCGTTGACTGGTCCGGCCCACAAAAAATATTCTTTCACAGATAAAACGATGATTTACATAACATTTTTTTACATATAACATGAAATCAAACATGTTTAACCCCGCCACATTCTGTATGTGTCTGTCCCAAGTCAGGAGCCTGTAATTCAGTGGTTGTCGTTTGTTGCTGTAAATCATGTTTGTTTTTCTTTCATTATTTTGTACATAAATCAGGCCGTTGGTGTTCTCGTTTGAATTGTTTCATATTTGTCATTTCGGGGCCTTTTATAGCTGACTATACGGTATGGGTTTGCTCATTGTTGAATGCCGTACGGTGACCTATAGTTGTTAACTTCTTTGTCATTTGGTCTTTGGTGGAGAGTTGTCTATTTGACAATTATACCACATCTTCTAATTTTTATTTAGACCTAGAAATATCATCATTATACGATTGCATGTACGTGTCTGTCTAATAACATTTATGTTTATGTTTATATCGGGTTATATGACTATCGGCAGTATTTGGACGTCATCTCGATGGATAATTAGATGGCGTCTAATCTAAAATACTCACAAAACGTTGATACATTACAGCAAGTCCATGCATTTTTAATTGTTTCTTTTGGACTTTTTGTTATTTTGATATACGTTTTAGAGCGTTTTAAATAAAATATGAGAATGTGGGTCCAATTTGTGAACATGAATTTGACAGCTAATGCCGCTTTAAGTCCGCAAATTCATCCTAGAAGAATTCCAGATTAGTATTTTCCGTCGCCTTTGGTGAATATACATAATGATGTGTGACTTGTTATTGTCTATACAAATTCTGTTTTAGCAGCAACGTTCTGAGATTTTTTGCAGACGAAACATCGCAACCGCAACAGATGCATTCATTTGATGATATCAAATCCGCATTAATAACGGGAAGCCAAGTGTGGTATAACGCTATGTTTTTTCTCTGTAAAGGAGATGTTCCCTGGACAGTTACCGGTGGTCGTGTGAGAGGTATGAAATGTAACCAACGTAGTGTTTATTTGGTAATGATCTTACAGTGTTGAACGGAACCTTTTTTTATCTCAAAATTGTGCTTTTCTTCATTACTTAGGAGCCAAAATCAGGAACTATGCCCTTTAGTTTTTTTCAATCTTAAACTGAACATGCTGTTGATTCCTATTGTTGTGTTCCATTCGATCTGATTAAACCTTGAAGGTTAATGCAATCTGTATTTGGTATTATGTTTTCAACATTTTCCGTTTGTATTAGGTTAACAAATTGATAAATGAATACGGTTCATAAAATCATACAGAAGATTGGTTGAATTATTGTTTAAAACTTAAAATTCTAATTTATTCTTCGCAGATATCAAATTTGTCAATGTTGCTCATTGGTCAGAATGTCATTTCACTCTTGGTCCATGATGTTCATCATGTCAAAGCATTAAATTTGACATTTTGCATTTTTGATAAAAAAATCTTCTTGATATGATATACAAATTATTTCGTGATTAAAAAATCTATACAATAATATGAACGGTTAAAGTAGGAAACGACATACTGTCAACAACTTATATTCGCGTTTAGCCCTTTCTAGACGATTTAACGGCAATTTATCTTCGAGATCCAAGTTTAACATATTTACGACATTCACGTAACTTATTTTTGTTTCGGGGCCGTCGTGTCGAGCTTACTAAAATCTATACACTAGTAATACATATACTCTTACGTGACTAGAAACTTTTGTCTGACGTGCAAACGGACAATGTTTACAGAAAATGATCTTTCGGTTGCGCATAAAAATCTTTTTACTTTGAAATCTATATATGCTCCTTTGATAATAAGAAGATATAACTGTGCTTTGTTTTGTCAAACTTGTGTGCTGTCGGTCAAATGAACCGTTCGAGGAGTGGACAGTTTGGCTTTTGGACAAAATGTCTGGTCGAACCAATTGTCTGAAAAATGAGGAATAAAAATTAGAATGGAAATGGGGAATGTGTCAAAGAGACAACATCCCGACCAAAGAGCAGAAAACAGCCCAAGGCCACCAATGGGTCTTCAACACAGTGAGAAAATCCCGCACCCGGAGGCCGGCTTCAGCTGGCCCCTTAACAAAAATGTGTACTATTTCAGTGAAAATGGACGTCAGACTAAACTCCAAAACATATAAATGAACTAAAATTAAAAAAAAAAACAGATATGAAATGATATGGTACCTCTGATTTCTTATAAATTTGAATAAATGGACTTAAAAAAAAGACCGTTGGTTTTCCCGTTTGAATGGTTTTACACTAGTAATTTTTTGGGGCCCTTTATAGCTTACTGTTCGGTGTGAGCCAAGGCTCCGTGTTGAAGACCGTACTGTGACCTATAATGGTTTACTTTTATAAATTTTGACTTGGATGGAGAGTTGTCTCATTGGCACTCATACCACATCTTCTTATATCTAATTAATAGGTATTCTTTTTTCAGCCAAAATTAATGCCAAGTATGTCGTTGTTTTTTTTATTACAAAGATCCAAGAAAAAATCCAACAAATTTTGAAATATGAATTTCTTCTTTAGATTTTGATATAACAGTCTCAAGCTCTCAAGAGATCATCAGTTCCTCTTTGAATGCACTGGTACGTCGGACAGGTACAGTACAGTCAGAATACATCGTTGTAACGAGTACACTCCATGACAACAGGGTCGTTAACTTTGAAGTGACGGATAACGACGCTAAGACATTTAACATGGTCTACAATGGAACGAAAATGTGCTACCTACAAACAACGATGCCCGGTGGAACTGTCAATTATTATGTTGTGTGAATGTCGTCATAAACAACTTGTAAGACAGTATTTTATTTTGATATTGCAAACAAAGCCCTATTAGTATCAGGTATTTAATGTATAAGGAAAATTAACATTGAAAGTTTTAATTATGTAAAACACTTTATCGCTACTTGACCTTCATTGCTGGACATCACACTCACAGACGTTCCCATAAACGTTTGGCGTCACAGAAGAAAATGTTGTCTGACACCACAAAGGAAAAGTGATTGTTGTATGACGACACTAGTTCAAATCTTACAAATTCTCAGGTCAAGTGTCTCAGATTCAAAATATTAATAGTCTATAGGAAGACATGTCACTCCTATCATTGACTATATTGCCAGTCTGACATTGACCCACCAATTTAAGATTTATATCATACTTTATTTGTGTTTGTTCAACCTTTCGTTCCTTATTAGGTAATTAACATAGTTTCAGGATCTCATATCATAATATTTTATTAATTTGAATGGACGTGAATACAACAATAAATATATGATGTCTGTTTTAATCATTTTGCCGGATGCAAATGAGGCATGGATTATACGTGCAGTACATTCATAATAGATCGTAGTAATATAAAGACACAAAAACCCCATCTAGAGGTTAACGTACGGCGTAAAAAATAGATGAAAAAAGAGGGACGAAAGATACCAGAGGGACAGTCAAACTCACAGATCGAAAACAAACTGACAACGCCATGGCCAATAATAAAAAGACAAACAGACAAATAATAGTACAGATGACACAACATAGAAAACTAAAGACTAAGCAACACCAACCCCACCAAAAACTGGGGGTGATTTCAGGTGCTCCGGAAGGGTAAGCAGATCCTGTTCCACATGTGGCACCCGTCGTGTTGCTTATGTTATTACAAATCCGGTAAATAGGTTAATTCGGTAGGTCACATTCGTGAGAAGGGAAGGGTATTGAGTGTCAATATGTCAAGGTTTAATAGAAAAGTTATGCAGATACTATCAACGATCTCCCATCAACCTCAAATTCTCAAAACGACGACAATAAAACATTAAGATGTAACCAAAGACAAGCTATGAAGAGGTTTCTGACAGGAACATGATTATATAGCAGGTTTAAACGAGTATTTTGACATCCCAACTCTTTCCTTTTTCATCTTGACCAGTGGAATATAATAACTTACAATAGAAGTCTACAAAAAAAAAAGACAACACTTGTTTGTTTATTATCGTATCAAGATTTGCTCATAGTAACTGATAGCAAGCTCAAATTATTAAACCTGCCACCATTTTTTTCCGGAAAATGCCTGTCCTTAGTTTAGAATATGACAGTTGTTGTCCAGTAGTTCTGTTGATTGGTATAGTCGAGCGTTTGCTACGCCCATAATAAAACTGTACCGAATGTCGGCGCAAAGCATTTCTTCTTGCTTCAATCAATAATTTAAGTTGATATTAAAAATCCAGTTAAAGAGATACAACCGTAACTTATGCAATGTATTCCGTCGTATACAATCTCTTACATTTGGGTGAGTGCCAAGCTCTATGCACGAGATGCAGCTATTGAAACAACTGCTGGAAGGTTCAGTAGGAGACATTTTGAAAATCAAATTTTCTAGCTCTACTCATCATATCGTTGGTTACCAGAGAGCATCCAAATTTTGATGGTCCTGGTCTTTCAACTTTGAAGAACGTACCTAATTTATTTAAAAAAAAATATATTGTATGATTGTTTTTCGACCTAAATTTAAATTAATTGTTTATCAATATCTAGTATCCAATGCTCAGGTATTTATACATCCTTAGCTTTCAGATTTTTGGGTTTTAGCGTTCCTGATGACGGAAAATCCAGATAGGCGCGTCGGCCTGCAGCTTTATAAAGTGTTGTTTTCATTTTCATTGTCAGTGGATGTTAATCCTTTAAACGTCTAGTAAGACAACGCAGCAGGTTCATAAGACTCAACAGTGCCGGCGCTCTAAGGTAGCACTCCACAGTTTGAAAATAAAATTAAAATTGAACCACAAAATATTAAATCGTCTTTTATTCCTGGCTTTCTAATATAAATACATCAAGCCAACTGTTTGTGTCATACAAGTGCATATGTATGTAATCAGTATATTCCATAGATTTAATATTCAAAAGTTAAAATGGTGAAAAATAATTCCTTTTTTGTGTATCCATGGCAACATTCTGTATTTATTTATCATAAAATATTACAAAAAGGGGCATGAAAATTTCACATATTCCCCCCAAATTTGGTTAAAACTAGAGTTTCAATGCCTATAAGTGATACCTTTTCTGAAACTGTTGACATTAATCTACCAAATGATCAAATAAAAATTGGGTGTCTTTCGCCTCATTTTTTCGTAAAATTTAATCCCAAAGTTCGTGCGACAAAAAGTTAGAAAAAAACAATGCAATAATTGCCGGACCGATGTCTGGTATGGATATGAAAATACGGACTGTTATACAGATAAACAGCCCATAATACATACATTACACAATCTTGATGTTCCTATAAACCCACTATGAAGGCTATATTAATCTTCAACTATCCAAAAATGAATTTCATTGCACACTAGCTCTCATATTTGAAAAATCCATGCGAAACTACACACCTAACAGTGGAGTGCTACCTATTCGAACCAGTTGGAAGGTCAAAGCAAATACGAAGTTGAAGAGCATTGAAAACCGAAAATTCCAAAAAGTTGTGACAAATACGACTTAGGCTATCTTCGCCTTTGGGGTAGAAAAATCTTAGTGTTTCAAATAATACAAAATTTTTAGAACAGTGAATTTCAAAAAATGAACATATCAATGATATTTCATGTCAACACAAAAGTGTGACCGTACTAGTGTTAGTATGTGAGTAGGTTAAATATATCTATATCTTTGTTGTAAAAAGTTCTTTTAAGTACGGAAAATGCTACATTCTCTAAAATCTAAGTTGTCACTGTAAACAGGTTCCTACCAACCTAGAAATGTACTTTGCGCATTTTATTAATAAAAAAACTAAGATTCTGCAACTCCCTGGGCAAAGTTGACCTTACACATCTTTGTTCATTTTAGCCTCTGGATTTAATCGCTGTCCTACATGATACTAGTATATAAAAGTCATGTTTCTATGTTTCTTTCGGATAAAAAAACAATCATACTTGGTTGCTTCTTAAAATCTTACTCTTTTCGCCTTATTTGGGACAAAAACATAAATCCAGTTAAAGAGATACAACCGTAACTTATGCAATGTATTCCGTCGTATACAATCTCTTACATTTGGGTGAGTGCCAAGCTCTCTGCACGAGATACAGCTATTGAAACAACTGCTGGAAGGTTCAGTAGGAGACATTTTGAAAATCAAATTTTCTAGCTCTACTCATCATATTGTTGGTTACCAGAGAGCATCCAAATTTTGATGGTCCCGGTCTTTCAACTTTGAAGAACGTACCTAATTTATTTAAAAAAAAATATATTGTATGATTGTTTTTCGACCTAAATTTAAATTAATTGTTTATCAATATCTAGTATCCAATGCTCAGGTATTTATACATCCTTAGCTTTCAATTTTTTGGGTTTTAGCGTTCCTGATGACGGAAAATCCAGATAGGCGCGTCGGACTGCAGCTTTATAAAGTGTTGTTTTCATTTTCATTGTCAGTGGATGTTAGGCAAACAGCCATCAATCAAATGGATCATTCACGATGATGTATGCAGTACACGCCTGTTTAGATGTTTTCTCACCAAATGCATAATTCATCCATCTTTAATAAAATAGCCTACTAAGTGTCTTATTTGACATATTCATGGAAAAAATTACTGACATCTATCATTAAAATCATGTGTTTTTAGATATGCAAATGACTGGATTGTTGTCTTTTCTTGCGTGTTTCTTATAATATCAACACTTTGGTACTTAAGTTTTTATTCTATATATCCATTTCTTCCGTTACGTCTTTAGGTTGTGTTTAGTCGGAAGTAAGGAAATGGCTCGTCGTCATCAGTATGACGGTGAGGCAGTGACTGACTGCTAAATAGAAATTATCCTTTTAAATCGCTAGAATAGGTTTTTTTTCCATCTTTCATGTGGCCAAATTACTAGTATAATTATCTGGAATAGCCCTTTGAATGTTGGAAATTAAAGGAGGATTTAGTTCTTATGCATTCAATAGATTTTCCCTTTTCTCTTCTTGTTCAAGGAATTTGCTTAAATCGAATTTTGATAGCACAAAATCAGTCTCAAAGTCAAATAAACTGCCATCCATTATGGATATAGGGGTGGAAAATGAAAAAAATATTGTGTCTCGTGATCAATACTTGGGTCTACAAAAACTTAAAAATATCAATTATTTTTCATTACATATTATTCCCCTTTAAAAAGAAAAACAGTTTTTTTCATACTTATATATTTTGTTCTTTATTTTATTGAGTTTTACAATATTTATACATGTTGTATTTACGTTTGTCTGATTACGTCGCCGAATTTTCAAATGTCTTAATCTGTTATTCATATTTTTTTAAAATTTTTTTTTAATTTTTTTTGTTTTTATGGGGGGTATGAGACGGGGAAGGGGGCAATATGGGGAGTTAGGAGGCAACACATATTTCTTTGTTTGGCTTTGTTTGTTTGTACATATGTTTACTTTTTTCTTGGTGTGGAGGGGTATATATAAATGCAAGGGCGTAGGAAAGGGGATAATACCCGCATTACACACTTGCAAAGGTGAGGGACAATACTATAACCCTCCTTTTGGCAACTAAGATTGTTATTAAAATATAAAGTGACTACGAAAGTGAACATTAACTTATTTCAAGACTATTAGAATATTATGATAGAAAATGTAGATTAAAGGTTTTTTTTTGCTTGTCACTTTAAGAAGTCCCCCCACCCCCTCCCCACTCAACTTTTCAATCTACTCCTACTTTACTGATATGTATCAAAGGAATAAGAAATAATTTTACTCTCACTCAGCTGATAAAGAGTTGAGAAGCGCTAGTGTTAACGCATAATCCCTAATTCATTAATAAGTAAATGTCTCCATACATCGTGGTACATAAA